GGGCAAGTGATTACAGGCTATCTCTGGTTTATGATCAAGAGCCATTCCTAAGTATGTCATTAAGTCAGATGTGTAGGTAAATAGGGGCAGGAATAAGGAAAACCATAGAATTGATGCTTTTGAGTTCTGGTGTTGGAGAAGAATATTAAAAGTACCATGGACTTCCAGAAGAACAAACAAATCTATGTTGGAAGAAGTACATAGTCAGAATTCTCCTGAGAAGCCAGGATGATAAGACTGTGTATCATACTTCAGACATATTATCAGGAGGAACCAGTCCCTAGAAAGGGACATCATGCTTGGTAAAGTGGAGAGTCAGCAAAAAGAGGAAGACCCCTAGTGAGTTGGATTGGTCCAGTGGCAGCAGCAATGAGCTTAAGTGTAACAACAATTATAAGGTTGGCACAGGACTGGGCAGTCTCTTGTTCTGTTGTGCAAAGGGTTTTTATGAATCGGAATCATTTGGAAGGCCCTTAACAACACAATTGTACTGATGATCCAAAACTACATGAATCCTGGAGACTGTCGCCTAAAATCACCTTTTAACCTGGAACTGCAGCTTCTCCCAGAGGTCACCTTTTAGCCAAATAATAGATGTTATTGTTGTTAAGTAACTCCTGGTATGGCACTGTAGGATCAACACTGAACTGCAAACCACAAGGTGGACAGTTTTAACCCACCATCTGCTCCTCAGAAACCTCAGAACTGACTTGACAGCACTTAACAACAAACCTGTATAGGGTTTCAGAGGAGTGGCTGGTGGGTTTAAACCACAGAGCTTGCAGTTAACTATGCAGTGTTTATCATACAGTGCCACATCAAAACTCGATGGTGCTGTGGGTTAATGCCTCAGACTGCAAAGTCATTTGAACTGCAAGGTCAGCAGTTCAAGCTCACCACTCGCTCCTTGGAAACCCTATACAGAGTCTCTGTGGATCAGAACTGACTCGATAGCACTTAACAACAACAATTATTAAGTGCCGTCAAGTGTGTTCCCACTCATAACGAACCTGTATAGGGTTTCTGAGGAGTGACTGGTGTGTTTGAACCTCCAACTTTGCAGTTAGCAGTCCAGTGCTTGTCCTATACAGTACCACACCTGTTATTGTTATTAAGTGCCTTTGAGTCTGTTCCGAGTCATAGAGACTCTGTATAGGGTTTCCGAGGAACAGCTAGTGGTTCAAACCACCTTGCAGTCCAGTGCTTATCCTACAGCGCCACACCAGGACTCCTCAAATAATGTATGTATTGTTAAGTGCCATCCAGTCTTTTCCGACCCACAGAAACCCTGTATAGGGTTTCCGAGGAGTGGCTGGTGAGCTTGAAGTGCTGACCTTGAGGTTCAAACCGACCTTGCAGTCCAGCGTATTAACCCACAGTGCCACACCAGGACTCTAGGAATTATAGATAGGCCTTTAGAAATAATAGATAGGACTATAAAATAAAGTGTCACCCATTCATGAAGGTGATATTTTAGACAATCAACTATCCAAAGGATCAACAGTTACCCAACAGCAAAAATGAAAAGGCACAAGGAAGCTGTGAGCTACCACATAACATGGACATTATGTTGAGTGAAATGAGTCAGTCACAAAAGGAGAAATACTGCATAGGACCACTATTGTAAAAGACTAAGAAAAAGAACCCACGCTAAAGAGGGGGCGGCATTCTTTGCTGGTTACCAAGATGTGGGGGGGATGTGGTGACGGGAGGGAGGGGAAGGTGGAACACAGGATAGTTTGGGTGCTGGGGAGGGGGGCAATACACAAGAAGGGGGGGGAATGGAAGAACAAGGCTGATGGGGAAACAATTAGGCAGGTTTACATGGACTAATTGGGACAGAGGTAAATAATGATGTATGCACAACCTTGGAACAACAGGGCTCTGCGATACAGGGATTGAGACATGGTTGGAATGGGCAAAAGGGAGGAAATAATGTTAAGATGCTTGGCTGTCTTTTGAATCTTAGTTTCCCTGGCATACCATTATAAAATAGACACTTGAGGGGGAGAGAAAGGAACAGCCAGAAATATCACTATAGAAAACTTGTAAGCCCGTCTTCAGCCTATAACTTTTTGGCATACCTAAAATGGGGTTACAACATGCCCAATGAAGGAGGCTTCCTGCGGAGCCTTTGCATTGTATAAGATTATAGATGAAATCCTGAACCCCATCCAGAGTCTTCTGAGGTGGGAAATTCCTACCTGAAAGGACAAGCAGACCAGTCTGGAGCAGCTAGAAGACTGAACATACTTCTTGAAAGAAAGACCAACAGGAAAATACAAAACAATAATGGCAGTCTGACAGATTACTACAAGAACAAGCAAGTTGCTCGCCCAGGAGACATCAAGGCAAGTGGTCAGGTCCCCTCAGGGCAAACCCACTGCCAAGACTAAGACTCAGCAGGAATACATGAGCAGACATGCACTTCGTTTGGTAACCACGTGAGTCACCAATAAGGGGAAGTGAGGGAAAGACAGCAATGAAGCTGCAAGCTAAACCCTACAACATTCAATGTTGTTGTTAGATGCCATCAAGTTGGTACTGACCTATAGTGACCTTATGCACAGCAGAACGAAACACTGCCTGATCCTGGGCCAACCTCACTACTGTTGCAATGCTTAAGTCCATCAATGCTGCCATTAGGCCAATCCATCTCGTTGAGGGTCTTCCTCTTTTTCTGTGACCCTCCACCTTACCAAACATGATATCCTTCTCCAGTGACTGGTCCCTCCTGACAATATGTCCGAAGTATTAGAGATGAGATTTGGCCATCTTGGCTTCCAAGGAATACTCTGGCTGCACTTCTTCCAAAATGGATCTATTGGTTCTTTTGGCAGCCCATGGCACTTTCAATATTCTCTTCCAACATCAGTTCTTCTATGGTTTTCCTTATTCACTGTCCAGCTTTTGCATGCATATGAGGTTATTGAAATTACCATGGCTTGGGTCAGGTGACCTTAGTCATCAAGCTGACATCTTTGCTCTTCAACACTTTATAAAGGTCTTGTGCAGCAGATCTGCCTGATGCAATACGTCGTTTGATTTCTTGACTGCTGCTTCCATGAGTTGTTGAAAGCTGATCTAAGAAGAATGAAGTCCTTGACAACTTCAATCTTTTCTCCGTTGATAAGAATGTTGTTTATTGGTCAAGTGGTGAGTGGAGACCTGGTTGGCCAGCAGTATGGCAAGACCTGAGGACTCATGGGCCCAGATTCAGTGACATAGCCACAGAGGACTAGAGTGGAGAGTGACGCAGCCAGCTAGTAAGAAGAGAGGGCATATGCATAAGAACACCCACACTTGCAGATAATACACACTTGACCTGGCTTCAATGACTGGATGAACAGAGCTCAACTAGGAGAGGAAAGAAGAGGAAAAAAACAGTAATCTGATAGAATTTGATGAACTTGACCTATACCTATGGATGCAGTAGCTCAAAAGAGGGAATAAATCTTTACAGTGAAGATCATTCCCACCCCCTCGCTACACAGGGTAGACAGGGATGGGCAACTTGGACATTGGCACCCAAAAATGGAGGCTACAAAGGCAAGAAGTAACTGGCTCACAAGCTTTCAAGAGGGAGCCTAAATCCAGGGGGCACGGAGGAAGGTAGAATCTCCACTGAGTAGTATCCAATCTGTCTGGGCGGGGCTAATGAAAGGAGATGGGGATAGGTCTCTTATGATACAATAGAGAATAATTGCTATCAGGACTGACAGTGAGGGTTGGAAATGTAAAGGTAGACGTTGTGCAGCAAAAGGAGGGGATTGGTTGACTTTGCAGTCCAGGAGCGGAGGTCTCTGGGACCATCAAGGGAGAAGAGCAGAGAGCGGGACCCTACCCAGAGAAGCAGTGACACCGATGATGGAGACAGAGACGATGATGTGGAGAGATGGAGTGGCTGAGGACTCTAGACCCAGAATGAGAGAGGGGCTGTGTGCTGACAACTGGGGGACAGGCTTGTAGGGTATACCCTTTGCTTGGTTGATGATGCATGGAGGGGATTGTAACCATGGCAATGAAATGATATATGAGAGAATGAATGTTAAGCTAATGTTCTCCCATGTAAACTATCACATAATTCACAATAAAACATTTTTTTAAAAAATGAAAAGGCAAATAGGAGCAGGGAAACTGGATGGGTGGAAACAGAGTAGGCAGGATGGAAACAGTGAGCGTGGCACATGGTGAGGATTTAACCAATGTCACACAGCAATTTGTGTATGAATTATTGAATGGGAACCTAATTTGCTGTGGAAACGTTCACCTAAAACAATAAATATATGTATATATTCTAAAGAATAAACTGTGCTTCACCCAATGAGATAATAATTCAGAGAATTTACATTTAAGAGGTAGTTTAAACTAAAATGATAAGTTTCTTGTGGATAAATCCATAACTGATTATTAAGGGAAGATTGGATATTTGGAGGTTTGTATTGTCCTTTTTAATATATTACATATATTAAAATTTTATATATGTAATAAATATACATTTAAATTCATTTTAACTGTGGTTTCAATTTGTTTTCAAAATATGCAAAAGTATGTACAGTGAACGGTAAAGTTAAGTCAGGCTGCTAACCTCAAGTTCAGCAGTTCGAAATTACCAGCTGTTCCATGGGAGAAAGATGAGACTTTCTGCTCCCGTAAAGATTTACAGCCTCTGAAACCCTATACAGGGTCGCTATGAGTCGAAAAAGACTCCACAGCACACCACTACCATCACTGGGATTTAAAACAGATATACAGACTTCTGGGAGATAGTTAATTGTTTTTAATTGCTGAATTTTTATCTATTAAGAATATAAAAATTATAATTTGGCCTCAAAGAAAGAAGATAAGCCAAGTTTGTCATGAGTCTAAGAAACAGCATCAATTTTTTATGATAAATTTGATAAACTTTAGTCATATTCCCAAGTGATTAACCATTGAGCCAAATAATAATGGTTTATTTATCTTACTTACTCATTTTTTTAAATAATTTTAATTTTTAGTTTTCTTTCATCGCATGATGAGTCAGATATTTATTTATCAAATTCTGCTACTTCCAAGCTCAGTACATCCTCCATGATGAAATTACCTCTAGAAGCTGGAAATACAAATATTGTAAGAAGATGCATTTCTTTGTTTTACTTTTAAATTCTGACTAGAGAGTTAAACTTTCAATGATGACTGTATTTTACCTCAAAATATAGGTTCATTTCCAAGAAACAAAACAACAAAGTCTTTCACCTGAGATTAAAAAGTTATATTTTACTCACTCTGAAAATAAATCAAATTCTTCAAAGTTTACTAAGAAAATGGACTTCTTTATCAGGCAAAATGAATGTAAAAAGGAAATTGATTTCAAGTAAGAACACTTTAAAAATATTTCAATGTTTTATTAATGAAAACTTCTGCAAATAAATTACAAAGAGCACTCCTTTTTCCCTGGTTCCAAGGTTAATTTTAAAGAATAGAGCCTAAACATTTAATTTAATAAAGACAGTAGAATTTTAGACCCATAGTAAGCCAAATTTAGGATAATTTATAACATCAAATATCTGGATTTTTGAGAACTTAGATGTTTAGTATTGTTATTTAAAATTACATTGAATTGACTAATTGTAAGTAATTTTCATACAATATATTGATTGTACAAAGCATAAAGTCACTCGAGAACAGTTTAATTGATTATGGAAAGCACCATCACATAAGGTAAGTTAATTATTCAAAAGCTGAAATCTAACTTAGCCCAGTCAGTTCTTTTACTGTTTAAAAGGTTCAATGAAAAAGTCAGATTAAATTTAATCAGTGCTCTCCCTGTGGGCCAATTTTATATAGCAACTTCCCTCTTCTCCTCGGAAAGTCAAAGATTAGATACCTGTTCACATTTTGATTAATAGTATTACTTTTTAGGGTGTTTAAAGAAATGTCTAAGAGTCTTTTTCACCATTTAAAAATCCTCTTGTCTTTGAGTGATTTCAACTCTTGGTGACCATTTTACAAAATCTAACCTTACCACCTCTACACTTTTTATAAGATTAGGCATACTGAAGTTTATTTAATAGATTAATATTATAAGAATCTTCAAGTTTATTCATTTTATATTCATTATATAAGGTCACCAATGGTCAGAATTGACTCAACAGCAGTGTGTTATTACATTATTATTTTAAAATTATGAAATGTATGTCTTTTATGTTATATTTTTTAAATGATGTTATAAAGACAGTTATTTTTTTATTTGCTTTTCTTCTTCCAGTAGATATCATCCTAATGAGGCAACTGATGAAATGAAATCTTACCTGGGAATATTTGATGACATCTTCTAAAGCAATTTTTTAAAAAAATTGCTTCTTGTATTAATAAGATTAAGTATAAAGTGACCTTATCACAAAGCATGCTTTTTATTTTTAAGAAATAGTTAATAATTTCAGTTTTTTCTTTTGTATTTGATCAGTTTTATCACTTTTTTATAACAAAATCAAATTGTTGGACATTTATTTTCCGATCGTAACTTCTTGAAAAGCACTTTTATAGTGTTTTGTGTTTTTTTTAAAGTAAGTTGATAGTTAAGTTAGAAATAATTACTTTGCTATTCATTGGATTTTGACTAGAATCAATTTAAAATTTCATTGTTCATTTTCTTGACAAGAAATAAGTATTCTATAAAGGCAAAAGTAATGTTAGTCAATGAATCTATTTATTGTATGGATTATTCACCAATATTGTTCTTACATCTTTTGTTTTCTTAAGATCCATCAGCTTACTGAACCTATTGTTACATAACTTTGAACAGCAATAAATAAAACATAAATCAATATAAATTGCTGTTTTCATTTAGCTTGTTTTTTTTGATGGTTTGTTCTTTTGAAGGTCCATAATTCTTCTTCAACACCATAATTCAAATACATCAGTTTTTCTCCTTGTTATTCATTTTCCAACTTTCACATGCATATGAGGCTGTGGTTTGGGTCAGGCTCACCTTAATCTTCAAAGTGATATTTTTGTTCTTTAACAGTTTAAAAAGATCTTTTGGATGGAGCAGATTTTGCCTAAGGAAATATATCAGTTTTGACTTCTTGAAGGTTGTGTCTATCAGTTTTGTGTATCCAAGCAAAATGAAGTCTTGACAACTTCAATCTTTTCTCTATTTATTATGATGTTATTATTGGTCCAATTGTGAGGATATATATTAGTCATTGAGGTGCAATCCATACTGAAGGCTGTAGTCTTTGATCTTCAGCATTTCAAGTCCTCTTTGCTTCCAGCAAGTAAGGTTGTGCAGATGGCATATTGCTGGCTGTTGATGAGTCTTCCTCCAGTCCACATGCCACATTCTTCTTCATATACTTCAGCTGACATTAGCAATTATATCCTTCATTAGTCCAGTATAAATGTCTGGCAGCTTCGATGTACTGCTACAACTGTTTGAGTCGGTTCCGACCCATAGCAACCCTGTATAGGGTTACCAAGAGCAGCTGGTGAGCTTGAACCATCAACCTTGCGAATCAACCTGACTTTGCAGTCCAGCGCATTAACCCACAGTGCTACAAAATTTTACTCTGTGGGTTAATGCACCAGACTGCAAAGCCGTGTGAACTGCAAGGTCAACAGTGCAAGCTCACCAGCTGCTCCTCGGAAACCCTATACAGGGTTGCTATGGGTCGGAACTGACTCGACAGCACTTCACAACAACAACAACAACATGATATTGCCAAATTATTTCTGCATTCCATTGGGCGGCCTTACTTTGAGATGGGCACAAATATGAATCTATTCCAATTGTTTGGCCAGGTTGCTGCCTTCCTTATTTTTTGGCGTAGATGAGTAAGTACCTCCATCTGTCTGTTGAAACATTTCGATTTATATTCTGTTAATTTCTAAAGTCTTGTTTTTTGCCAATACCTTTAGTGCAGTTTGGGCTTCTTCTTTTGCTACCATAGGTTCTTAATCATATGCTGTCTCTTGAAATGGTTAAACATCGACCAATTCCTTTCGTACAGTGACTCTGTGTATTTGTTTCATCTTCTTTTGATGCTTCCTGCATCATTCAATATTTTGCACATAGAATCCTTCAATACTGTTAAGTCTTGAACATTTTCTTCAGTTCTTTCAGTTTGAGAAATGCTGAGAACATTCATTTCTCTTGGTTTTCTAACTCTAGGTCTTTGCACATTTCATTATAATGCTTTGCTTTTGGGGGCTGTCCTTCGCAAGGACAAGTTCTCTGTTCAAGTCTGTTACTTCATTATTTCTTCTAGTTGCTTTAATTTCCCTATGTTCAAGAATAAGTTTCAGAGTGTCTTTTGACATTCACTTTGGTCTTTTTTTTCTTATCTGTCACTTTATGACATTTCTTCATGTATGATGTTCTTGAGGTCATCACATAACTCCTCTGGTGTTTGTTAATTATTTTCTAATGTATCAAACCTGTTCTTGAGATGATCTCTAAATTCAAGAGGAATATGGTCAAGGTCATACTTTGGTTCTTGTAGACTTGTTTTAATTTTCTTCAGGTTCAGCCTGAACTTTCATATAAGCAATTGAGGGTCTGTTCCACAGTTGGCCCTGGCCTTGTTTTAGCTGGTAATATTAACTTTTCCATTGTCTAGTCCCACGTATCACTTTGATTCCTGTGTATTCCATCTGGTGAGGTCCACACGTATTGTCAGAGTTTATGATGTTGAAAGAAGGTTTTTGCATGCATAAGCCATTGATATTCCAAAATTCTGTCATGTGATCTGCAGCATTGTTTCTTATTCTATCACCAAGGTCATATTTTCCAACTACTGTGCCTTCCTCTTTGTTTCCATCTTTTGCATTCCAATCACCAGTATTCCAGTGCATCTTGATTGCTTATTTGATCAATTTCAGACTGCAGATGTTTGTAGAAGACTTTAATTTCATTATCATTGACTTTAGCGGTTGTTGTGTATATTTGAATAATATTGTTATTAACTAGTCTTCCTTATTGTTTCTGTGTACCATTGAATTGGTTATAACTCATAATGACCCTCTATAGGGTTTCTGTGAACAGCTGGTGGGTTTGAAGTGCTATTCTTGCATTTAGCTCAGTTAATAGTCCAGTGCTCTTCCTTGTAGGCATATAGATATTATCCTATCACAAACAGCATTGTATTACAAGATTGATCTTGAAATGTTCTTTTTTACTATGAATATCCAGTCATCTTGAATTTGTCATTCCTAGCATAGTAAACCATATGACTGTCAGATTCAAAATGACCACTACTAGCCCATTTTAGTTCACTAATATCAATCTTTATGCATTCCATTTCATTGTTTACAACTTCCAGTTTTTCTAGATTCATACTTTGTTCATTCCACGTTCTGATTATTAATGGATATTTGCAGCAGTTTCTTCTTATTTTGAGCTGTGCCCGTCAACAATTGAAGGTCTAGAAGCTTTGTTTCATACATGTTCTTAAGGTCAACTGTACCTTGAGGAGACAGTATTTCCCAGTCATATTTTCAGTGCTTTTCAACCTGAGAGGCTATACTTACAGCGCTTTACCAGGCAGTATTTCACTGCTATTCACAAGGTTTTCAATGACTAACTCTTCAAAAGTGGTCTGCCTCTCCTTCTTCCTAGTCTGTCTTAGTGTAGAAATCCCATTGAAATCTGTCCACATGGGTGAACCTGTGGTATTTAAAATACTGGTGGCATAGCTTCTAGCACCACAGCTCCACAGTTTCTGCTACTACAGTTTGACAAACAGACCATTTAAAAACCCTTAGAGACAAGAGAAGTAAAGAAGAGAAACTTCTAAATGAGATTGCTATGGTCTTAATTGTTATTAAGTGCCACCTAGTCTCTTCTAAATCAATGATTTGTTCATTTCAAATACCTTCTTTAGACAGCATAAGAGATGATACCCATGGACCTCACCAGATGGAATACACAGAAATCAAATTTACTACATCTGTGGAAAAAGACGATGGAAAAGCTCCACATCATCAACCAAAACAAGGCCAAGGGCAGATCATAGAACAGACCATCAATTGCTCATATGCAAATTCAAACTGAAGTTTAAGAAAATGAAAACAAGTCCATGAGAGCCAAAATATATGTACCCCACCTGAATTTGGAGACCAGCTGAAGAACAAATTTGATACATTAAACACTAAAGACCGAAGACCAGAAGAGTTATGGGATGACATCAAGAACAAGATACAGGAAGAAAGCAAAAAGTCATTAAGAAGACAAGAAGGAAGGATAAGGTCAAAATGGATGTCAGAAGAGACACTGAAACTTGCTCTCCAGTGTAGAGATGCTAAAGCAAATGGAAGAAATGAGGAGGTACAAGAGCTGAACAGAAAATTTCAAAGGTCAGCTTGAGAAGACAAAGTCAAATATTACAACAAAATGTGCAAAGATCTGGAGTCAGAAAACCAAAAAGGAAGAACACGCTCAGCATTTCTCAAGCTGGGGGGAACTGAAGAAAAAATTCAAGCCTTGACTTTCATTATTGAAGGATTCTCTGGGCAAATTATTGAATGATGCATAAAGCATCAAAAGAAGATGGAAGGAATAGACAGTTACTGTACCAAAAGGAAATGGTTGCTGTTCAACCATTTCAAGAGGTAGCATATGCTAAAGAGCCAGTGATACGAAGGAAGAAGTCCAAGGTGCAATGAAGGAATTGGCAAAGAACAAGGCATTAGGAATTAATGGAATAAAAATTAAAATCTTTCAAGAAAGTGAGGCAGCACTGGAGGCACTCACTCATCTATGCCAAGAAATTTGGAAGACAACTATCTGGCTGACTGATTGGAAGAGATCTGTATTTGTGTCCATTACAAAGAGAAGTGACACAACAGAATATGGAAATCATCGTACAATATCTTTTGATATATCCCATGAGAATAAAGTTTTACTAAAGGTAATACTGAAATGGCTGCAAACATACATTGGCAGAGAACTTCCAGAGGTTCAAGATGGATTCAAAAGAGGATGTGGAACAAGAAGGAATATCACTGCTTTTGTCTGATGGATCATGGCTGAAAGCAGAGAATACCAGAAAGATGTTTACCTGTGCTTTATTGACTATGCAAAGCCTTTCAATTGTGTGGATCATGACAAGCTATGAACAACATTGTGAAATATAAGTATTCTGGAACACTTAATTGTGCTCATGAGGAATCTGTACATGGACCAAGAGGCAGTTGTTCACACAGAACATTGGACCATCATATGATTTAAAATTAAGCAAGTTGTGTGACAGGGTTGTATTCTTTCACCATACTTATTCAACCTATATACTGAGCAAATAATACAAGAAATTGGGTTCTATGAAGAAAAGTGTGTTAT